ATGATGGTTATATAGTAAGGGGAATCTTTCCCAAATGTGTTTTTTAGGTCAGTGAATTGGTATATGTCCATTACCGCCAGACATCTTGACAGGATAATTTTTACCAGTTCGTTTGTTTGATACTTATTTTTTTTGTCGAACCAAAAACGTGTGCTTTTTGGTCACAAATCACATTACAAAACAACCACTACAGTAGCCATATTGAAATGAGTGCTAACCCCCTTGTGAAACTCCTGAATCATCCCACTTCGAAAATGTGCATGAATTTCTGGTAGGTTCACAGGTATGGGCTGGGTACCTCAAACCACAAGAATCGTTGATGGGTTAATTTGAATATTATGGCTATAGATGGCTATAGAGTAGTACTATGTCCCCAGTTCGATTCTTTCGGTTAAAAGTGGGGGACTTTCAAATGTTGAGAGAATGCTAAGTACTTAAGTATACAAACCGTTTTCCTGTGTTGTGAAATAAGGTGGGCTCAGTGTCATTTGAGCCACTGATCACACTATCCTAGTCACTGGATCTTATGGGGATCCGACCCTCTCGTCGCAGAATTCTTCAAGGCAGTGTTCAAAACCCCTGTTGCTTCAAGATGATATGGGATTATATTACCCAGGGGCATTATCACTATCCATCGCTATCCATCACTATCCATCACTATCCATTTCCCTATGAACTATTTACCAACAGTGGGCATTCCTTCAACATGTTCCACCTGCGGAGTCTGGATTCGACAGGCATTGGAAAACAAGCGAAATCGTATTGAAGGTTCTGGTCGCCTGGATGTACATAGAGTCATAGAGTTACCCTCTGGTAAACTAACAAAAAGCTATGGAAAATCACCATTTTTAATGGGTAAATCCACTATTTCTATGGCCATTTTCAATAGCAAACTGTTAGTTTACCAGAGGGTATTCCAAAGGTGGTGGATTCCCCCCAAGAAAAATGGCATAAAATCCTGGTCTTCAGGTCATGAAGCCTGGTGGTTTGGTTTTGGAATCCCACATAATCCCACAGATTCCGATGGACATGAATTTGTTCCTAGGATTTCAAAGCTGAAGATACTGGGATTGCTTCCAAGCTACAGAGCTGGGTGAATTGGAAGTTCGAAAAAAAAAATCTCCTTGCTTTGTACCTGTCATGGAGGACTATGGCTTTGCATAAGTTTGTCTTAAAAAATCGGGTACCCCCTTTTTTTAGAGGATGATCATCAAACTATCATCTGCTTGGTGGTTTCAAACAATTTTTATTTTCCATTTCATATATGGGATGTCATCCTTCCCATTGACGAACTCATATTTTTCAAGATGGGTAGGTCAACCACCAACCAGGTAACCATTATTATCACCATTATTATCATTATTGACCATCATTATTATCATTATTGTTATTTTCCATAGCTATGTTAAACTACTATATCATTATTGTTATTTTCCATTATTATTATTGTTATTATTATTATTTTCCATAGCTATGTTAAATTACCAGAATATCATCATTTTCTCTACTAAAATATGTTTATTTTTCAGTTGTTGAGGCTACTATCGGGGTATGAACAATTTCTAGGATCATCCCTGGTAGGACCTACCAGGCAGTCACAGCTACCGGGTATTGAAAATGGCCCATAGAAATAGATGGTTTACCCATTAAACAATGGTTATTTTCTATAGCTATGTTAAATTCCCAGAGGATACAACTCCAAATCTGGTTGGTGGTTTCAAAGGTTACCCTGGTTGGTGGTTTCGACCATTTTTTACTAAATTTCCATATATTGGGAATAAGGTGAACAACTGACGAACCCATATTTTCAGATGGGTAGGTCAACCACCAACCAGATATATAATATCTATTATACATACCTACCAAAACCCGCTAAAAGCCCAGCAAAAACAATGTTTACACCTTGACCCTGAGTCCTTGGAGCATCATTTGGTGAAGGGTTCCAGCTGGGTTAAGCCATTCGTGGTGATTCATGGGTGATCTTGCAGCCATTTTAGTTCAGCCAACTATAGTGATGATAAGATGGTTTATGGCTGGACTAAAATAGATGGCTGGACTAGTGGTGATAGCTGGTGATTAGATGGTTTATGAGGGTTTATGTCTATGTTTCTTGAAACAACTGCGGAACGCGAATCAATCTATTGAGATTCGGGGCATCCAATAGTGCATGGCGAGCCAAGCCTCGCAATCGAAGTTTGAGATCTCGCCAGTTTCTACAGGAACCCAAAAAATTGGTAAATCCATGTGTTTCCCATGCAGTTTCCCGTATAAACCAGTCGCATCTGTCGCAGTTGGTATATTTTTTGGGGATCAAAAAAATGGCAGTGGAACATCTAAGTTTGATGATAAGCGCCCCATGACCCTCTGGTAAACTGTTACATAACTATAGAAAATCACCATTTTTAATGGGAAAATCCACTATTTCTATGGCCATTTTCAATAGCAAACTGTTAGTTTACCAGAGGGTAGTTCGGGAATTTCCCAGCTAGCCACCTTTGATAAAACCAGAGGGTACTAATATTCTTACACCATGGAGTTTCCCCGTGGTTGTGAGGTTTCAAACATTCCTGCGAGTTTACCGTGGATGGCAACTTCATTCCCCGCATCATTGGCAAGGGCGGCGAGACCATTCGCGCCGTAAGGGAGAAGTATGATGTGTCTTGGGTCAAGATTACTTGATTGGTAAACGAACAGTTTGCTATTGAAAATGGCCATAGAAATGGTTGATTTACCTAGTAAAAACGGTGATTTTCCATAGTTATATTAGTTTACCAGCGGGTACTTGTTTTGTTAGAAACAATACTTTCTTTTTTTTCCCCTTTTTTCTGGGCTAAACTAGACTTTTGTGGAAGACGCATCCTGGTTTCCCAAGGAAACTAATCAAGGCTGTTTTTAGACTCTACAGATCGGCCTAGTTTTTGGCACTCTGGTGGCTCCGAATGGATGATCAACCTACCAGTGTTCGCTTTTTTTTGGGTTACCCTCTGGTAATTTAACATAGCTATTGAAAATCACCATATTTAATGGGAAAATCCACTATTAATGGTCATTTTCCATAGCTACGTTAAATTACCAGAGGGTACCCTCTGGTAAACTTACAAAAAACCTATGCCTATGGAAAGATCCACCATTTTTTTTAATGGGAAAACTCACTATTTCAATGGCCAGGGATTCAATAGCGAAATGTTAAATTACCAGAGGGTACATGGTGTTACATCCCCGTTTTCTCTGGTCAACAGTTTCATGAAACAAGAAATTCATCATGCTGCCGGATACGATCCCTGCTTTGGTGAGTCAGACTCCCCATGTTTATCTTGACGAAGACTGCGGAGTGGGGATGTACATCACACATATATATATATATTAAATAAATAAATAAATATATATATATATATATACTGTATATATATATGTACATATATGTATCTATCTATCTATCTATCTCTATCTATCTATCTATCTATTTATCTATCTATCTATCTATCTCTCTCTCTCTCTATCTATCTATCTATCTATCTATCTATCTATCTATCTATCTATCTATCTATCTATCTATCTATCTATCTATCTATCTATCTATCTATCTATCTATCTATATATACATATATTATACAATGACATACAATTACAACACTATATTGTGCGTGCATACACATACACTACATACACTACATACACTACATACACATCCCACAATCGCCAGGTGAACATCCGCATCTTAGAGCCCGAGGAGAGCGGCGCCACGGGCGCCACGGGCGCCACGGCCTCGGGCTCCCGTGTGGTGCGCATCTTCGGGAACAACGCGCAGAACGTGGCCAGCGCCCGGGCAGAGGTGGAATACGTGGAGGAGGTGCCTGGAACTGCCTGGAAAACATGGGGATATGGCTCGTTTTCGAGATTTTAACCATGGTTTTTTGGAGAAAAAATGGGGGAGAAATGGGAAACACAATGATTTGTGATCAAATGGAGATAGAATTGATTGGTTTTATCACTACAATTGATGGGGTTAAGCAACTTAACACCCATCTAGGGGCCCCTTCTGGGGGGTTGGGATAGTATAGTATAAAACACAAATGATAACGGCTATTTTTTTTTGACGGTTTTTCCATATAAATGATCCTTGAAACCTTATTTTATCGATGTCCTTAAGTTCCTGATCTAACCAATAAAAAGAAGGGGAATAGACAGTAAGTCTAACAAATCTGGGGATAAAACTATAGTTTAACTATTTCATGGTGGTATAAATGGCTAAAACACCACGGAAAAATATACTGGAATGTGCCCACCTCCGGGATGCTTTGTTTCGGCAACTGTGCTGCGTAAAAGTCATGGCAGCCCATCACCCCCGGCCAGTCGTTGAGAGATGGGGTGTGGCTTCAACGCTCTCACGTGGAGTAGTTGGTGTTTCAAGGACATTAATTTAGCCTCTGGTAATTTAACATAGCCATGGAAAATGGCCCATTTATAGATGGTTTACCTGTTAAAAATGGTAAATTATAACTGGTTGAGCCTGAAAATAAGCCATTCTGTTTTTGGTTTCACTCATCTTCCAATTTCTATGACTGCCAGGGTCAACAAGTTAATTTACTGGACATTAGTTGGTGCATTGCTTAAATGGAACTTCAACGGACCGCTGCTACAACTTTTTTCGAAAGGGGCTTCTGGAAATTTCTGCCATGTGCAGACTAGGAAAATGTATACCCTCTGGTTATTTAGCCGTGGTATAGATGGCCCATAGAAATGATGATTTTCCCAGCTAACAACCTCCATTTATAAGGGATTTTCCATAGCTATCTTAAATAACCAGATGGTATATAAGATTGATCACTTGGTAGATGGGAACTTCCCCAGGACCCAGGCTCGGTTCTTCGCATCATCAGTGGAGTTTCCTGCAACAGCGCCATCTGTGGATCCATGTTAAGTAGTTGCATTCCCATTCCAAAGTAGTTTGGTGAATTCTATATTCAAACTTTGGAATTGATGTCGATGGGAACATGATGCACAATAATTTTGTTGTCAGTTGGTGAATGTGGTAAGCTGTTAATCACGATCAGCACGTCTAAACCATAAAACAAACTTACCATGAGTGAACCATTATGAACCACTACAAAGTGGGGCCCCCGTTGGATAGCTAAGTTGGTTTATAACTCCCATTTCACTATGGTTTATGGTACTTATAACTATAGTTATTGGGGCTTTTCTTAACCAACAAACATCACTAGGGGGCCCCACATTGTATAGATATCCCAATTCTACAGCTGGGTTCTCTGAGGATACAAAAGGCCCCTGAAAAAGCAGGCGATGTCGCTCGAAGGAGACCAATACAACTGGCTGGCTGGGAGCATCTGGGCTTCAACATTTTGGGGATCAAGCCTGAACCACGCTGCTTTAGAGATTTTACCCTCTGGTAAACTAACATAACTATGGAACATCACCATTTTTAATGGGTAAATCCACTATTTCTATAGCCATTTTCAATAGCTATGTTAAATTACCAGAGGGTATCATTTAGGTGAGGTATGAGTGGTAGAGCGGACCAACATGGACCAACATGGATTAACCATCCACTCACTTTTTTCGATTTGTTTCAGGGCTGTTGATGCTGTTGACCAGGAGCAGCCCATCTCGTTGTGCCATGAGTGCAGGGTGAATTTCATGTCCAGAAAAATGGGCTGTTTTCATTTGTTTTCAAGTCTATTTTTTTTGAAAACTGTGAAAACTGATCTGAAGAATGCCAGCCATTGACAACAGCCTATCAAAAGAACAATGAGACATACACCCTCGCCAAGATTCTGCTGAGGCAAAAGGAACCTGACAGTTTTGCCTAATGTTTGCCTTGAAAAAATGGGGGTCCAGTCAACGTTCTTATGATGTCATCCAAAATTGCTACAAGGGACTAAGGAACCTGCTCTTTTTGTGAAAGATGCGTTTGGATCGTCTCAAATCCAGCCTCAACTGGTTGGTGGTTTGGAACATGTTTTATTTTTCCATATATTTGGAAAATCGTAACCCCAACTGACGAACTCATATTTTTCAGAGGGGTAGAAACCTACCACCAACCAGTCAATCTTCTGGAATCAGACAAGGGTGTCCTTTATCCCCCCCTGTTTGTTACAGTGATGTCCTGCGTTGACCAACTCCGGGCTAAAACGAGCCAGTCTTGGGTACATACCCAACCTGGTTATGACTAACAGTTCGCCATGGTTTTTCGATGACCCATAGAAATAGATGGTTTACCTGGGTTTACCTATTAATAGCATGGTGATTTTCCATGGCGAACTGTTAAATAACCAGATGGTAATAGCAGAATACCAAACCTTGACGACTCGATTTGGTTTATTTTGCCGACCACACCGTTACGACTGCAAGCTAACAGAAAGAATGTCAGTCAAATATGGATTGCGGCTGAACAAAGATAAGTGTGTGATACTTTAGTGAACAACGATGGTCGGGTCCACTAAAGATGAAGCAACTGACAGGTACTTCGGATATCAACAAAGAAGCTAATAGCTAACATAAGACACAAAGTTCTCAACAAATTGCAGGAAGGACAAGACCTGGTTCAGACTCTTGCTGTACTGAAAGGCCACACATGCAAACTTAAAAAAAGGCATGCAATTGCTCATAATTATTTGATGCGGTAGTCCGATTAAACTTGCTGTACGGCCTTGAATTTCCGTCAACTTTCATGGATAGGCGAACTTCCACAGGAGTAGTTTTGCAGAGATATGCAAACTTTCTTTGCCCAAATCAAGGTAAGCAACGAGAAATTGAGTTTTTTAGCCAATCCTATGGACCGCAGCAAATCAAAGTTATTGGGTCATGTACTTAGAGCAACTTAGAGCAGGAAATGATTCGTCAGAGTTTGGTATGGGATAGAACGAGTTGGTCGCCCGAGGCAAAACTGGCTTCATTGTGCTAAAAGATATACTTGTACAACTTATACTTTCGAACATATCCTTCCTGGTGAGGTAGAACATGCGCGGATGTATGATGCAGCCATAACTTGAACATTTGAAGCTGCGACACGGACCTGAGGCTACGCCCATGCCTGGCATTGATCATGACTAGTCTCATTGCAGTGTATCAGGAGACATGTTAATTCGCTAGAGTGTATCACAGAGCTATATCAACTATATAGCTGGTTGGTGGCTTCAAACATTTTTTATTTTCCCCAATAGTTGGGATGATGATCCAATCTGACGAACTCCATCATTTTTCAGGGGGGTAGGTCAACCAACAATTAGCTAGTTTCAGGCAGCATGTGCCACCTGCACCCTCCCTGTAAATCCTAGGACTGGCTCTTGGAAAAAAAAACCATGGCGAGTAGCTGGAAACCCCGGTTTCCAGCGGCCTCACCATTGATATAGCAACATATAAAATGTAGCAACCTAAGAGCGACCGGCCCTTAAATACATGATAGTTTGTTGGGCAAACATCACACAAATATATCTTTCCAACTTAGGATTTATTTGCATTTGCCCAGAATGATCCAGAATGGTAGTTAACCAATCCATAACGATCATTAACCATCGATAAACATCATGCATCATCATTAATCATCCTTCCCTTAACCGTCATGACATCCAGTGACTACGATGCTGGAGCCAAAACACGCCGAAACGTTGAGATGTGGTGCCCCCCAGTTTTAAGTTGGTTTGTAAACTCCAGGACCTAGATTTCATGATCATAATTAGTTATTGGGGTTATTTGCAACCAACTTAGCTATCATAAATCAGCTACAAATCCCATTAAATCCCTATTTTTGCCGGTTAAATCACCATTTTCCTATGGTTTTCCTATGGTTTTCCTATAGTTTTCCTATGGTTTTCCTAAGGCCCCAGTGTAACTTTTCGCCTAGGCAAAGGGATGCGTAGCGTCTGGGCATTCAAAGAAGCTGCTGGCTTGGTCTATGCACGTCCCTTGGTTACACAAATGGGGTTGGAATGGGTTGGAGAGTTACTGGAAAATTCAATTATTAAATTTTCAATGGGCAAATCCACTATAAATTGTACTATTTGTGATTAGATGATTAGATATACCCTCTGGTAATGACTAACATAGCAATGGAAAATGGCTATAGAAATAGTGGATTTTCCCAGCTATAGAATGGTGGATCTTTCCATTGCTATGTTAGTTCACCAGAGGGTACTGAAAATTCAATTGTTAAATTTTGAAAATTCCCACATCAGCAATTAGAAGCACTTGCCAAATGAGCGCGATATAATATATATATATAGATCATGAAATAGGACGTGGGGCATGCGTCACAACTTCAGGACCCACAAAAGCCACAGACTGGTCATGTTTACCCTTGAACACGTGTGCCAATTTCTTGACCCTGAGTAGTAATATTGCAGGTTGGTGGTTTGGAACATGAATTTTATGACTTTCCATTCAGTTGGGAATAATGATCCCAACTGATGAACTCATATTTTTCAGAGGGGTAGGTCAACCACCAACCAGTCTTGAAAATACACGGTGTTTTTCAGCCGTATCAGGGCTTCTGTATTACGCTCAGTGGTTTCAATCCCAGGTGTGTTGATCACCATTCCCAGGTGATTTTTAGGGGGTCCAGGGGAGTCTTGGTGGAACCATCTGATGGCAGAATCAGATCAGAGATGGATTGCGAATCTATATATTTCTATGCAAACAAATGCTTGATCATGCAGGATACTGTAGAGGTTGGCACACATCCCGTAAATTTCCATAAATGAATAGAAATGGAAGATGTGTGAATGCGCCAGCAGATGAGATTATGGAATCATGGATGAGTGGGGCTTCGCCGGCTCCAGCTGGCATGATCATTGGAATGCTCCACCATTCTAGATTTCATCCAACACGAATTTCCCAGCTACAAAGTGGGCCCCCAAGATAGCGTTCAGTTGGTTTATAACTACACTAACTAGGGTTTATGGTACTTAGAAACTATAGTTAGATTGGGTTATTTTTACCAACTTAGCTATCGAACGGGGGCCCCACTTTGTAGAAACCTCCACTTTTTTCGGGGATGTACAGCAGCAGATGTTTTGAATAAACCCGACCAAAGACGACCAGAATCAACCAATGGCCATGCTGGCCAGGAACCGATTGATTGGAGGTACTTACCATATATTTTTGGCCTATTTTTCAGGCCTAAATTTCAGGGAATATCCCAGCAAAATATGGCCTTATATGGTACAGTACCTCCATTTTAGGATCCTGAAATGGCCATTGATTTCAGGGAATATGATCAGAATTCATATGGCCAAAAATATGGTACGTTGACGTACCTCCATGTATTGGATCCTGAAGATCTCCCATTGATGAAACCATGGTTTTTGCCGTGGTTTTTACCATGAAATCCATGAAGATCACGGGGTAACCACCGACTCAATCCGAGTCGTGGTCGAAACCACGGTGGAAATCCATGTCTTGTTTGGACGAACTTCGGCTGTTTGGTATGAAAACCCATGGTTCTACATATATGTTTTTATAGTTTGTGGTGTCAACATGTGTCATTTCTTTTTAAATGTTGAACTATATTCGGGATGATGATCCCCAATACTCTACCAGACATGTTGTGGATGCTGATCTGAACCAAACCAACAGTTCACACATGATGTTCCCATCTCATGGTTGTCTAGATTCATGAATCATTGCTGACATGATTTAATCATTGTTGAATTGTGGGAACATTATATTGTTGTTATTGTGGATGAATGTTGGGATATGGATTATTATAAATTATTGTTGATTATTCATTTATTCCTATCTAAATAATCCCATGATTGTTGTTGATACCCCAGGTTTGGACTATGACAGCCAACAGCTGCTGTTGCGACTTGGATGCGACGCATGTTTTTTGTGCGTCCGGTGTCATGAAAAACATAGATAGCTAGAAAAATCTAGAACATCCCCGTTTTAGTTACAGTTTAGTTCTATGTTTTTTTTTTCCAGAAACCTCCATTCTGATGGGATTTCCCAGCCTTTTGATGACCGGATATGACCGGATTCACATTACGGTAACGGTAACGGTTAGTGGGGTGAGTCATGAGCACATGACTCGTTGACCTCACCTTGATGATCCCCAAGATTTCGTATCTGGTTGGTGGTGACTGGAACCATGGAATCTATGTTTGGGTTACTATACATATACAGTGTATGTATATATATATATACATATCTGGTTGGTGGTTTCAAAGGTTTTTTGAATTTTCCATTTCATATATGGGATGTCATCCTTCCCATTGACGAACTCCATCATTTTTCAGAGGGGTAGGTCAACCACCAACCAGATATTTAAGCTAGCCATTTTTGTTGGGATGTTAGCGGACGCTTTGGTGAGGCCTTGCAAGCCCCCAAGCTGCCTTGTTTGACTGATCAGTTGGCTCGCATGATGAAGTCTGCAATAAGGACAGATTCTGAGCTGCCACTGCCCAAATCAGCACACTGGTGGCAGTGGCAGTAGAGAAGAAAGTGCAGAAAATGCTGAGAGCCGATTTGGATCAGGAACGGGATGAAGATCTTGTTTTGATGGGGTCGCCAAGGCATTGCTTGCAAAGGGTGATCCAGGCTGCCAGGTTGATCAAGGATATCAAGACATCCGAAAAAAGGTCGATTGCCACGTTGGAAAACCAACCCAAACTATGCCTTGAGCATCCTTGAGCATCCTTGAGCATCCTTGAGCATCCTTGAGCCAGATTGATGAGATAGATCAGATAGACATCATTTGGCCAGCTGGAGGAGTTTCTGGAGGAGTTTCATTGAAGCGGCCACCCATCAGGACTTGGGACTCACAAATCACAAGTCACAAGTCACAAGTCACAAGTCAATACAAGTCATCCCATGTCCCATGTAACATGGTTACGAAGACCATCCTGAAACATAGGCAGCCTTTTTTCGCCATGTCCCATGTTTACCAGTTAGTTTACATCTACACCTTCTCCGAACCCAGCCAAATAGCCGTATTTTGATTTAGGTGTATGTACATGTGTGATGCATGAGAATATGTATATACATATATACATGCACCATATGCTGGTACTTTTAGTTGCTGTATATAGTTTTTTTTTGCACGTATACTTCAGGATCACTAAATTTAGTACTATATGTACATGTGAATACAATGAGATGTTTTGGATATATGCCAGCCATGTCATATCCCATGACGGATCCATGTATGCTATATATATGGTAACATGGATCCCATCAATATACCCCCAATGTTAGCATATATACCATACATGGATCCCATAGGTATTGGAAATCTGCCAGCCAAGATGTTTTTTTTGTGCTTCGGAAGCGAGGTGTGGTACTCGATCTTCCGTGGAAGATGCCATCGTCGCTGGGCGCGTGAATGTGTAACCACGAGGATTTTTGCATTAATGGGGCAATGCCCTGAAATGTGGGATCTAATGTGGGATTTAATGGGGTTTTATGAGTTTTATGGTGATTTCTGGTAATCTACGGTGATTTAATTGGTTTTTATGGTGATTTAATGGGTTTTTATGTTGATTTATGGTAATTTACGGTGATTTTCCATGGGATCATCATGGGATTTACCCTCTGGTAATTTCCTACAGTTTGCGACATTGAAGCCATGGCCCAGTCGAAATAGTTGATTTATCCATTAAAAATGGTGATTTTCCATAGTTATTTGATGTTATTTGTATGTTCACCAGAGGGTAAATGCAATAATTGATATGGTGGATTAAACCACTCATGGGGTTTTCGGACCGTACTTGATCCATCCCCAAGAATTAATAAACAGCAACCTGTTTGATGTAGCTTTCTGCGGAATTTGATTGAATTTGATTAAAAAACATCTATTTCATGGTTTTCACATCAGGTTTTCACCCGATTTTCGGGGTCACCGAAGTTTCGAACTTGACATTTTCCAAAGTCACTATTTTCGATATGGCAATGGAAACATCACCACTTGGAATAGGAGATTACTATGCAGCTGGGCAGTTTTCCAGCCAACCATAACATTTTGGTTTGAAATTTGCATTCCAACATGACAACAACCATCACTGTTTTTCAGAATGGGAGTTTCTGAAGTGCAGAAAACGACCTTTTCACTACTCTAAACGATAAGTTCTGGTCCCTAAACGATAGGTACCCTCTGGTAAACCAACATAACTATGGAAAATCACAATTTTTCACGGTAAAATCAACTATTTCAATGGCCATTTTCAATAGCAAACTGTAAGAAATTACCAGAGGGTAAGTTGATACATCTGGGTTAATTATAACGACCTCACTGCGACCTCACTGGAATCATGGTTAGTAAGGGAAAATATCCCCAAATAGCCTTAATTCAGGTAGAAATATTATAATTTACCCAGATACATGACGACCAACTGGGTTGTGTCAAAAAGGAACCCGTTTTGCGGCCCCGTAGTTGATGTTTTTTGTCTCGCTTTCATCGAAGTGGGGAAAACAATTTTTTCGGATATCCAGATAAATAAACCCTTAATGTTTTCCGCAAATTATGGTTTCTAGATAGACACCATGATAAACCTTGGGTAACTTTGGAAAAATCATGGTTTGTTAAGCTTTTTTCATGAAGTTTAGCACTGTCACTGTAGCTGATGGTGAGGAAATCATCTTTAAATATCCTGGAGATGCAGAGGTTTGATGGAAAAACGACCCTGGGGATTTGTGGCAGAGCGTTTTTTATTTTTTGACATGATTCGAGAGTTGCACATAGCAGCAAGGGACTCCCTTTCATGCCGGAAATGAAAAAATGAATGAAAAATGTTATGTAAAGTTATGTAAAGTTTAAAGTGGAACGTAGTGAAACCATGTGAAACCCAATTGATCAGCCAATTTACCATACATAGACCCATTTATCTAGATTTATTATGATCTACTTGCAGCTTAAAAAATCCACTTTGAGCTCAAATTTACCATAGGGGGCCCCCCGCGCCCCACAGCTGTTCCCGGTTGCGACTGGAGGCGCTCTTTGAGACCCATTTCATGTACTGCCCCGTCTTCCGTCAAATGGATGAGGTGAGGGGATGAAGTTGGTAAGCTGGATTTGCAGGTTGCACATGCTGGTTGGGGGTTTGGAACCATGGAATTTTATGACTTTCCATTCAGTTGGGAATAATGATCCCAATTGACTTTCATATTTTTCAGAGGGGTTGACACCACCAACCAGCATGTCTTGGGAAGCTGGATTGGTTTCTGGTCGGTGAACCATCTATATATGAGTTTTTGTAAAATGTAAAAACATGTAACATATTTTGCTTAGACAGCTTAGACATGATATGGGATTCAAGGGCTAGCCATACAAAATGAATGAAGTGGCGGATCTGCATGATGTGGCCCATCTCCATACAACAGAACTTCTTTGCTCACCTCCGGGCTCATTCCAGTGAATATGTGGATGTGGACATTCGAAGAATTGGGATTGCAGCAAGTAAAACAGGACAATCGCCAACACAAATGGGATATTCATGGATATTCTGTTTTCTTTTGGCAACCGAATATCACGTATCCGAAATATCTAGATATACTGCGGCAATCCAATATGACTGTCCAGGAACATTTGATTTTCTATAAGTAAATCACCTACGCTTTTAGGTGACTGCTAGATATTGCCGAAGGGCAAATCACCATGGCGACGGTCACCAAGCTACATTTTGGGGGAGCCATCCACGGCCAAAAATTGCTCACAAGTTTAGGTTTTATGATGCTGTATATATATATATATCATGATATCTATCATTAATACAACTATATCATGATATTAATATATTTAGTTTTATGGTATATATATATATCATGTGTCTAAAGAAACTTACGTTTCTCGGGGGCACCACTGTGCTTGCTTTTTTTGGGGTTTTGGTTGTTCCATGCGACCAGAATGCGCTAGCGTTGCTGCTGAGACGGGCCATGGAGATAACTAGTTAGTATAAGTAAATGGATTATAGTTGGGATATACCATCTGGTTATGACTAACATAGCCATGGAAAATCCCTTATAACGGAGGTTTCTAGCTGGGAACATCTATAAATGGAATGGCCATTGATGGTTGGTTGGATTATAATCTGGTTGGTGGTTTGGAACATTTTTTTTTTCCATATACTAGTATTGGGAAGAATAATCCCAACTGACGAACTCATATTTTTCAGAGGGATTGAAACCAACCAGTAGTGGTTTATGTATAACCCAGTTAACTAACCACTTAGCTAATTTTAATCCCATGGCCCCTCTAAGTGTTTTTTTGGGCTTCTAACCGAGGTGTACTCCTTCTTGTAACTTCAACCACCATCCTCCCAGCGATTGTAGTTGTAGTTGTAGCTGCGGTGATAGTGGTAGTTGTAGTGTAGTGTAGTGGTAGTGGCAGTTGTAGCTGTATTTGAAGTTGAAGTTGTAGTTGTAGTGGTAGTTGTGGTTGTAATGTAGCGTAGTGTAGTTGTAGTTGTCTATCTATCTGTCTAGCTGTCGAGCTGTCTAGCTGTCTATCTGTCGATCTATCCATCTCTCTGTCTGTCTGTCCGTCCGTCTGTCTGTGTCTGTCTGTGTCAGGCATGCTAGGGTTCGGGTCTATATATACTCTATTTCTTAAATTTCATGAAATCAATACATGATTAATATTCAACATTTGTTAGTGACACCACTATAGTTGAGGTTTATAGACCTTGGTTTACCCACTTGTTCTTGCTTGAAACCAGCCAGCGAGGAGATGGAAAACATCTTTGCAGAACTTGAGTCCTATGGCGACTACGATGCTCGCTGGGAGTGACTTCAACTGCAATGGGCTGGGTTCGTACTTCCATGTCCCACTCAGGTACCTGGGCTCCGGAAACCTTTGTTTAAAGTTTACCCTCCGGTAATCAAACGTAGCAATGGGAAATCCAGCACTAAATGGAGGTTTGAGTGGGAACACCATCTATTTTCATGGGTGATTTCCCACTGCTACGTTTTTTTTTTAACCGGAGATTGTTACTATATGTTACCCTCCATTAAATTAACATAGACCCTACCAGATAGGGGTTGGAAGATTAGTTGCCACTACAACATGTGTATTTTCAGAGTCAACAAGTTAATTTACTGGAGGGTATATTAGGTCATAAACTGTATTGGAACTTTGCCACCCAAATCAAGGTAGGTAGGTCTGTGCATGTGCCACATGTGCCACATGTGCCACATGTGCCTCTCTACTCAACAGCTCAACAGGACAGTGTGGACCTCAGGAATCCATAAGTTGGCAACTTCCTGACACATAAATTACATTGCAGGAAAAATCGTGGGAAATTTTGGAAAAATAGTTGGAAAACTTTCTGATATCACGCTCCGTGATGAAGCCCTGAAGCGTTTCCTTGGCACATCACAATCTCACTGGATGACATCTTACCCCCCCCGTTCATAGAAACCAACCATGAACAGGGATACATATGGGGATGTAGTGCGAATATCGTGAATATATATATATAAAGTATAGTTATATATATATATACACAGTTATATATACAGACAGACAAACAGACAGACAGACAGACAGACAGACAGACAGATAGATAGATAGAGGTAGATAGATAGACAGATAGATAGATAGATAGATTGGATGGATGGAAAGATAAGATAAGGTAAGATAAGATAAGGTAAGATAAGGTAAGATAAAATAGATAGATAGACAGCTAGATAGACAGATAGATTGGATGGATGGAAAGATAAGATAAGATAAGATAAGGAAGATAAGACAAGGTAAGATAAGGTAAGATAAGATAGATAGATAGATAGATTGGATGGATAGATAAGATAAGATAAGGTAAGGTAAGGTAAGATAAGATAAGACAAGATAAGGTAAGGTAAGACAAGATAAGGTAAGGTAAGATAGATAGATAGATAGATAGATAGGTAGGTAGATAGATAGATAGATAGATAGGTAGATAGATAGATAGATAGGTAGGTAGATAGATAGATCGATAGATTGATCGATAGGTAGATAGATAGATAGGTAGGTAGATAGATAGATAGATAGGTAGGTAAATAGATAGATAGATAGATAGGTAGATAGGTAGATAGATAGAGAGATGGATAGGTAGGTAGATAGATAGATAGATAGATAGGTAGGTAGATAGATAAGATAGATAGATAGATAGATAGATAGGTAGATAGATAGATAGGTAGGTAGATAGGTAGGTAGATAGATAGATAGGTAGGTAGATAGATAGATAGGTAGGTAGATAGATAGATAGATAGGCTGATAGATTGATAGATTGATAGATAGATTGATAGATTGATAGATAGAAAGATAGATAGGTAGGTAGGTAGATAGATAGATAGATAGATAGATTGATAGATTGATAGATTGATAGATAGATAGATAGATAGGTGGGTAGATAGATAGATAGATAGGTAGGTAGATAGATAGATAGATAGGTAGGTAGATAGATAGATTGATAGAAAGATAGGTAGATAGATAGATAGATAGGTAGGTAGGTAGATAGATAGATAGGTAGGTAGATAGATAGATAGATAGGTAGGTAGATAGATAGGTAGGTAGGTAGATAGATAGGTAGGTAGATAGATAGATAGATCGATAGGTAGGGTAGATAGATAGAGAGATGGATAGGTAGGTAGATAGATAGATAGGTAGGTAGATAGATAAGATAGATAGATAGATAGATAGATAGGTAGATAGATAGATAGGTAGGTAGATAGATAGGTAGGTAGATAGATAGATAGGTAGGTAGATAGATAGATAGATAGGTAGGTAGATAGATAGATAGATAGGCTGATAGATTGATAGATAGATAGATAGATTGATAGATTGATAGATAGAAAGATAGATAGGTAGGTAGGTAGATAGATATATAGATAGATAGATAGATTGATAGATTGATAGATAGATAGATAGATAGGTAGATAGATAGGTAGATAAACACATGATCTCATGTTGTGAACTCGCTGGCATGATGGTTTTAAATATGGGGGGAGTCATTCCCAAATGGCCGTATGAAACCAGCTGTTTTCCGGTGAGTGAATTAGTACAATGCAGCCAGGAATCGTGTGGGGTTTCCCACAATCAGATTCGATTCTTCCAACTCCAAATCATGGGAGTTTCCAAATCTATTCTTACAATCAGATCAATCTATGGGTGTTTCCAAATCATAATTTTTTTCCCCTCCTACAAGAGCTCGGGAGTGTAAGTTAGACTGCGCTTTGCATCATCCAAATCGCAGCAATTCCATGCAATTCCCACCTTCCAATTCCCCAAGAAACCACCAAACTTTTTGAGTCCAACGGAAAGTTTCCACACCATGGTTCCACGCCCAAGGTCTTGGCAGGAAGAGCCCAAGACCAAGGGCAGTTGGGGCAAGGACCGAAACGACCGGAACGACCGAAACGACCGGGACAAAGAGAAGGACAGCCGCGGCTACTCAGGTGCCACCGAGCATGGTTTGTAGCCTGGTTGGTAAGTTCCCTAAGAAAGGTTATCCAAGATATACATACATTGTATTGCATTATATTAGTTGAGTTGTGTTGTATTGATGTATTGTACTGTATTGCGTTTCATTTTAATAATTTGTATTTTAGTATATTATACTATATTTCAATGTTATGTAATGTTATATGATATTATGTAATTTGATGATTCTCATTCTCATTGAATTGTATGGTTTATTTGTTTTTGTTATTACGTCATTGAATTGTATTAAATTTCATCATATTATAATGTATTATCTTGTGTTATATTATGTCTTTTCTTTTGTTTGTAGCGCTAAATAATGATAGCCACAACGGGGGAGAAACAGTCCCTTGCCCTGGGGGTTGGATGCGCAAATTTTGTGATTTTCTGAGATGTCCCAACAAAATGACGGGTTTCCTGTAGACTTTTCCTTAAAGCAGTTCTGATTTATGGAGTTTGTCCTCAAATGTTCCGAAATTTCAATACATAAATGCAAAATCAGTGATAATCAGTGATTTTCCCAATCAGAAGGGCTAACTAAACTCTTAGTTCTGCTGTGATTAACGGAATGTACCTACTTGGTGGACAGCTGGTTACATTTGGTGAGCACGTTTTTTTTGCGCACAACCATGCTTGGTGGCATTCGTTTGGAGCACTACGTGTTATATAAATGATGGTTAAATTGGACAACCCGACAACCTATATACATCTAAATACAAATTTCATGGCCTTGAATTTCCGGTTTCGGATCTGGACTTCCCTAGATGTGTTCTCTTTTCCTACAAAAGAGATGATGATGTTATGATGTTTGGATTCCTGTTCCGGGATGAATGACCTGTTCCAGGCAGCCAGAACGGCAGCGGACGATGGGCCGACCGCGAGAGCAAGGACAGCCTTGACTGCACAGTTCGTGGTGGGTGATGTTCCTAGTGTGTCTAGGATCAAAAATTGAATTTTATGGAGATGTGCAGTAATGGAATTCAATAAGGTTTAAGGGGATTGAATGTGATTCAATCGGAATATAGTGGGCTTTAATTGGGATTATGATGTGGTTAATAGGAATAATATAATCCCTTCAGCTGTTCCTGGGCCGAAAAGATTTTGAATCATACCCTTAAATCATGTATGGCTCTCTTCAAAATGATTAGCTCGATGGGCATATCGAGCTGGGCAGGGCTTGGACATGCAGCTCAGTTAGAATGTGAGAGAAATTCAAGGCCCACAAGGTGGTGCCCCCCCAAGTTATAAATCTGGGTAAATTATAACGACCTCACTGCGACCTCACTGGAATCATGGTTAGTAAGGGAAAATATCCCCAAATAGCCTTAATTCAGGTTAGTGAAATATTATAATTTACCCAGATAAATGGGTTATCATCCCATTAACTATAGATATATCACCAACAAAAACCATAGTTATTGGACTTATTTGCACCAACTTAGCGATTCCGAACTGGGGCACCACCGCACGCAGGGAGACACGAATGTTAGTCGTTCTTAGTACGATTTCGCATTCCACTTCTGGGGTACCCAATTTCAACCAAAGCCACGTTGGGCTTGGGCTGGCTTTGTGCTTGGGATTTATCCATAATCTCAGAAATCCTGGCTGTTTGTAATGGCATACTATGTATGTATAAATAAATACATAAATAAATAAATATGTACTATTTATATATATATATGAGGGACCTCTAGATCATATTGTGCACCTGCTGGGCCTGATAGTTTTTTTTAGTTAAATGTATTAAGATGTTTAAGTTATACTTTTAACACTATTCAAATTGGCAACGATATCTTTGTCAGATTTGACAGTAGCAGTGGGTGTGGTGGAGTGGGATGGTTGAACCCCAGCTATCACACACGGCCTGCTTCAAGTAGCGGAGTGAAAGGATTTGTGAGGGTAATGAATTGTTGGCTCAGTTCCCTCAGTAAATTTGGTCGTGCTCTCTCCAAGAGAACTCGGCTGCCATACTTTGTACAGCGCTCACGGCTCAGAACTTCAGGGAGCTGCTTTAAAACAAGTTGCCATATCCATGGACCTGTGTTTGAACATCGCTGAACACATAGTACACCTACAAGGGGAGATACATGTCCAGCGCGCTGTTACACACATGCCGCTATATAAATGAAAATGTAAATTGCACATGTGAGTTCTCACGGAACGGACGACATATACCCCAAAGGTCCCCCCCGCACATATATATATACATATATATATGTATTGCAAACATGTACATACACATGTAACTCATACATAGACCTACTTATAGATATATCTATACATATCTATTCTTCTACAGGTACATAAAAATGCTTACATATAATATACATCATTATGCATTATTATTCTTCATTAGACATTATTATATTGTATTGATTCTACACTATTAGACATTTTTTGTACAATGTTATTATATAAATATTATTATACATTATAACATTGTACAAAATACATTATTATACACTATTATACATGATGTTACATCATCATACATACATACATACATCTATATATACATCTATATATACATCTATATATACATCTAAATATACATACATACATACATTCATACATACATACATACAGATACATA